TGGGTTTGTGAAAGATAAATGGGTTTTTGAAAGATAAATAGGTTTTTAAAAAATAAACAAATTTGTGAAAGAGAGATGTTAGGAGCTATGTATGGAATGTATGGAAGCGAACCATGGATAGTCAGCCATTGCCTGGTAAATTGTATGGAAGCTGCAGAGATGTTGTCTTCTAGAGAAGAGCATCATGGGCATAAAAAAAAAGCTTCATAAAGATGTCTCTTTAAAAATTCAGTCATGAAGAGAACTGATAGTACTCATCAAAAGAAGTCAAGGAATCCAGTGAGAAGGGGAAAACTTTAGTATTTTGTTACAGAGTAAAAGTCTGAGGAAAGAAAGGCATAAGTAAATCATAAAGTAAAAGACACATTCAGAACCATCTTAACAGGATTATGGGCCCCTGGGAAAGTCAGCGCGCTGGGGCACCCTTAGAGAACCACTCACGGGAATGCCATTTTTATTTATGGCAAGTCACTTCACATGCACAGATTAGCTTGGGGCTCCTATGCTTGTGGGGTCCCAGGGCAAGTGCCTGGGGACCTATGTATTAAGAGGACAGTGGAAACATTCTTCTGCTTAGTCTGCTGTCCTTTATCCTCCATTGAGACAAACAAAGGCCCACCACCAGCTCACGCAGTCATCCTATCTTTTACCATTTTCTGCAACTCATTCCATTATCATCAGTTTCCAGTTTCCACTTCTACAATTAAGTATTGTGAGGAGGAGCAGTTTACGATCCATTGCTTGATGGGCAGCAATGACTATTGTCATTCAGTGTCAGTGTAGAAGCTTTTTAATGCCATCAGTCTATATTCTCTTATGATGCCCTCTTGCTTTCACTTAAGATCTTTTTATGGGTAGAGCCTGCATTGGTAGTTGTTCTGACTGCATTCTTCCTAAATGAGAAAACCATTTGATCTTTTGTTTCTCAATGAATTTGCTGCATGGTGTTGTTCCTACAGTTTGTCTGATAATATCATTTCTAACTTTGTCTCGGATGGTTTTGCTTCTTGACGCTCATACTTTTTTTGGCCTTTATAACAGTGTCAGTTAGTATATAAGTGCACTGGCTCATTGGCATCTTGTTTCTATTTTTTTATCTAAACTTCCATGCTCTCCCCAAATACTTCATCTTTGCTTCTAAGTTTTCTTCTCAGTGTGTTACCTAGCTTGCCTTCTAAGAATATACTACTTATATAATTATTAGGTTTTCTCAGAGTGTGTCCTATCTAATGCTAGAATATTGTTCTTCATGTTTTGATTCACTGAAATTTTGCTCTCCCCAAATGCTGTCCATTAGTGATTCTGTCATACTTTTAATTTCCTTTTATTTTGTGCAGGAAACTAGTATTTAAACAATGACATTCACTTGTTGTTGTGTGAAATATGTCAGTTACATTTACACATCATGTAAGCAAGTTGTATGTAGAATAATATGTAGATGTTAGCAAATGTTATTATTGTCCTGGTATAAACAGATATTGATATTTGTAGCAGTTACAGTTTACAGTTATTGGTTTTAGTAATATACTTTTATTTAAATTGTAGCAATGCCTGTTTCTTCTTCCTCATTCGAGCATAAATCTCAGCCAACTCAGCCATGCTAGCCAGTCTTTTTTTGTTTATACTCTTCCAACTCAATCCATGTCCTCCCATTTTTCGGCCATTGCATTTAAATTTTATGCTTAGAAATACTGTTGTTATATTACATTTCCAATATTATTATTATTATTATAATCTTGTGATGTTGTCCTTAGACACGTTCTCAGTCGGTTGTTAGCTCAGCATCAAAAGATCGGCTTGCAAACAGTGCCTTGGGAGGTTTAAACAGTGAAGAAATTAGGATTGTCCGCCGGGTGAAAGAAGAGGAGGTCAGGCAAGGAGGCTGGATCCGAATTTTTCCAAATGCTGATAGCTGGGACACATATGGGTTAGATATTGTTAATTTTCTTCTTCTTCTGCTACTTCTTCTTCTTCTTCTTTCTCCTCCTCCTACTTCTTGTTCTTGCTTTGCTTCTCATTTTTAAAAAAATCTTCCTATCCTTCTTCGTTGTTATCATTATCATCAAAACAACCATTGGCTTTTTCTTATCCCCACACAGTAATGACAATACAGTTACTAGTCTAGTACTTTGATCATAACCATCAAGCACTATCACCACATTGAAAATCCGCTGTGATATTAAGTTGTGTGTCCTTTACAGGATGTCGCAGAACAAACCACAGCATTTTTTTACTGTTGTGGTATTTCAAGGCAAATTTACATTCACTGGTTCGCTATTGCCCTCGAATGGTCAGCTCTCAGTACCACTGTCGAAATCAATGCAAGACCTCTGCTTCAAATCATCTACAGCTGGGATTGAACCCGGTATTACAAAGCATGTTCGCAGCGCCCAGGCCACAGACGCTGACTGGCTGTGACGAGACTCTAAAAGTCTCTGCCTTGTGTCTTTATGATGCATTTTTTTTTCTCTAGCCCGTCTCCTGTTGTTGTCCACCCACAAGTAATGTTGGCATCCTCTTGTATTCTTCCCAAGCATTTTTCCCCTTCAGGACTTTTTTTAAAATGAGAAGCTGTGTCTTCTAATTTGGCTGAAGTACCTTAATTATCTAACTCATTCTTACTTTCTTGTGGGTCATTTATTACCTTCTGCTAATTTTTCTGTATCTTGCCTCCATTAGCCTTTGTCTGGGGGGGGGGGGGGGGGGGGGGGGGGGGGGGGGGGGGGGGGGGGGGGGGGGGGGGGGGGGGGACAAACCCTCAAAGCAGCAGTGAGGGGAGGTCAAGTGTGGTGCTTTTTATCCTCAAGACTCAGTGTTGAGTTGTTTGACAGAGATAGCTGCCACACCAACTAGTACATTTCTGCAGTAATAACTGCCTTTGTCTGTGGTTGTTTATTTAAAATATTTATGGCTAACACCTTTATCTAGATGACGGACACTCAAAGACAGATAAACATGAGGTATGCAATAAACAAAGTGGGGAGAACACCAGGAAATGGATGGACATGTCTGTCGTAATCAACAACTAGATACGGCTGCATCATTCAGTTTACAGGTGCAGTTTTTACACAGAACCTATGGGATTGTCACCAGAGCTGCGGTGTTCATGCTGTGTTCGATGCTCTTCACAGGCATTTAGCCCTTCTGTGGAGAGACCAACTATATGGAATGAAACCCGGTGCAATGGAGGTGATCCTCCTGACTTTAACTTTTTCACAACACAATACATTACTGCACACCTTCATTGAGCAGACGGCACTTCATTGTTTGATTGACATAATTAGAGGCTGGTCAGTTTGTTGTGTAAAAAATAATTATTTTAAATGGGCAGAAGTTTTCTTTGATTTGGCTGACATTTTTTACATAGAATATAAAACACACCTCTGACTACCTTGTGACATCTCAGTGAGCCAGCCAAGCACATTGTTGAAGAAACCTGACTCCACTTTTCTCTAACTGACATGTACCATATCTGATATGTTTCAGTGTTTTCCTACAATTTCCCACCACTCACAACCTGATGCTGCATCAAAGGTTTTATCCAGAAAGGTGAGTACAGGTTTTACCGACTATTCTGAAGTTTTTTAAGTTGTCCTGTTCATTAGAGGGAGAAGCTAGCTGTATATCCTTTTTATAACATTGCGAACCAGTCCCAGTAGTTGCTGGCTGTTTGTGATTTTACATTCAGTTGTTTGCCATTGGTTTCTATGCGGTGGGCACTCCAGGCATTGTTCAAATCACCACAAAGCAGCCTGTTACCAAATCACCTGCAGCTGAATCAAATTAGGAATTTCAGAATTACAAACCACGTTCCTGACCTCTAAGTCACAAACACCTACATAGGAACGAGAAAAACACTACTTTAAATTTATAAGTAACTTTTATAAACGTTTTTAAATAAATGTGGATAATTTTGAGTTAGCAAATACTTTGCGTAACCTTAGAACTGTAGATTGAGAATGTGGCCTGTTGCCAGATAACATTGTGGTGCCTTATGGAATTATTGCATGTGCAACTACTGATCTGTTTAACAGTTGCTTCCATTATTGTAATAATGTCAGAACAGAAAAGATGGGAATGTTGCGTGGATACCCCATGAACCTGGGAATAATACAGATAAATAAGGGGCAGTTTTATGGAAATAATATGATGAAAGAAGACAGGGTGCTAAGAAGTTGAGTATCGGGAAACAAGACGACCATTGTTAACATTGTTGATTCATACCATGATACCACATGGACATGCAGTAATGAAATGGTTTTTCATTCTGTGATCGACAGCTAATGTTTCAAGCATAAGATTTGTTTTCCTATTTAATCTCGTATATTTATGGAGGTATTTCTCATTTCTTATAAAAAATATTTTTTGACCAACACTATGCTATCAACGCCAAACGTGGACACTTACATCCTCCAATGAACATAAAATTGTGACAAGAGAGATGAAATGCCTTAGAAGAGTTGCGGGAGTTTCAGGGAAAGAAAGAAATGAAATCAGGAAATCAGATGAAAACTAGGAATAAAGCCAGTCTTACAAGGCATCAAAGAACAACAAATGAAGTGGTTTGGACACCTAACAAGAATGCCCTGGTACTATCTGCCACAGCGAGTCACACTTAAACGTTATAATGGGCATAGAGCGAGCGGAAGACCTCGGAAAATATGGAGTGATGGCATTAAGAACAGCCTTACAGAAATGAACATCAGTCTTAATAGTGCTCTTGACAGAGCTCATCAATGAGTTACATCTCCTCCTGACACTTCGATGAGGTACAAGGTGAAAGAGAAGAAGAAGAAGATTTCTCTTTTCTTGTGGAATTCAGTATGTTTGAAAAAAAAAGAAATATTCTGAAACAAGACCAAAGTTCAGGCATGGACAGACAACCAGGACTTCTGTCAAAATCTATAGCCGGTGAACGCAAAGAAGAAGAAGATGACCTTATTATTTTGAGACCCATGGGTGATCTAACTTTTTTGGTTTACACTTATTCCTGCTTGTAGACACAAAGGGATATTACCGAGCAAATCTCCAGGCAGTGGTGTTCTAGCGCCATCAAGATCAAAGTAAGTGTGAATCTATTTATGAGATTACTTGTGTAAAAAATGTTTGTCTTTTTCTTCTTCTTCTTCTTCTTTCTTTTCACTGACTGTTAACTCCTTTGAAAGTCCTAGCTGTCTGCCCACTTCTGAACTTTGGTCTTGTCCTAGGACTTGAATGTTTTAAAGATATGGCATTTTTTGTGTGCAGACTGTTGGTTGCCACAGTAGCAAGGCATGCATGTTATGGCTGTGATCACAGCTTAAACTTTCATTGCAAAAGAAACGTGCATTATTTTACTATTTCTATCACTGTTTACAATTTATTACAAATACGCCACTGGGTTTACTTCTTGTCTAGTACATAGAACTTGTTAAAATAGTAATAATATAGAGAAAAAAATGCTTGCTACTCATGCTGACACTAACATGTGAAAGATACTATTTGCTAGTACTACAATACTAGCTGCACACACATACTCTCAACAGCGAAACGACAAGTAGAAAAATATCAAATGATACCCTCTTCAGTGTAATCATTACCTGCTTATGCTTACACTTGCAAATTGATTAGGCCTCGCCACTGCAAAAATGCACCTTTATATATGTCACTAAATATTGACTTGGTTTTATAATTTTTGTATCAGCAGAAATGGAATCCAACTGCAGGTTGCTGGTTCTGGCAGAGTAGACCAAGAGGTTTGTCATATTTTTTTCTTTCCACATTTGAAAGAAATTGTTACCACTGTGTAGTAAGAGTACTGAATAAGAAATCAATACATGGAAAGAAGTAGTGATTTGCATAAGAAATAGACAGTACACATTATTTTTTTGCTCATCTTTGTATCTTTTAAAGTGTTCTTATGTTTATTAGACTGCTGTAAAATTGTGCTTTAACTTAGGAACATATTTAAAAAATGCCATGTGTGACAAAAATATATGCATCCGGTCAGCCTAATTCGTATTCTAATATTTTGCTGTACTACTGAGTATAGTATAATAGTATCAGTAAAGGACATTTTTCCACGTACACATAGACTCATATTTTGTAGACCACTTGGTGAGTGATACCCTCAGCATCACGCTGGCCGTCTTTATGGTATAATACTGCTGCAGTTTGTATTACAGTTTCCCTTCTTATAAGGATGTTTTAAGTTAAATATATTCATCAGCTAAATGAAATCCATTGAATCTATTTGTGATTTTTTTAGAAATTCATAGAATCTTATGCCCAAGCTCTCCTGAGGGCTAAGCAGTATGAAAGGAGGTTGGGTCAAGTGAAGAAGTCTCATAGAAGAAAGCATTCCTCAAGTGAGTATTGATCTTCCCATTGTCTTATTTACTACATTGAATTAAAAGCCCTTGTGTGGTTTCTGTGGTCCCATTATTATGGGGGAAACAAAAAATAGACATGCTGCCTCCCCAACAAGCGTGTCATGGGTGTCTACCGAGTGGCAAGGAGCAGTCAGCTTCGCACAAATAAGCCAGTAAAATGGATGTACATGCAAAACTCAGGCCCTGGCACAAAGCCCAAATTGATGAACGATCAGGACTTTCCACCAGAGCTCACAGCCGGTGAACAAAGAAGAAGATTTACTTAAAATAAAAGGTACAGTTTGGGGGGGGGGGGGGGCTGAAGATCTGTTCCTTGTGTGATCATGTGACCTTAACAGGGCATGCTCATTCAGAAAATAAAAAGGTAATATTGGAAAAACATTCAGAAAAATATAAATAATATTCCATTAGGTACCAGTCCACTTTGATTATTTCAACTGAAAATGCAGATGGGCTGGCAAAGGACATTTGTAACCTTTACATCCCTAATCAAATCCTGAGCCTTAAAGAGGCAGTAATATCCCTAAAACAAGCCAAGAAATAAATTGGAGAGTACACATTGAAGATTGTAGGCCAAAGCATAAGAACATCACTAGGGTAGGATTTGCAGATTCAGAATACCCTCACCAAAAACTTATCAGAAATCTCTCACTGACAGTTCTGAAGTACCAAAAGATACTCCCTAGCATATCCTTCAAAACAACACATTATTTTGCTTGGTCTGTTGTCTTATTTGCATATTGGATCTAAAATCTGCCCAGTGGAGATTTAGTATTCTTCTAAAACATAAATATACTGACTTTTTAAATATTTTTTTTAAATTAGTTCTTGAAAATTAGTAAACATAGGGCCCATTTCTTTCAGTGAACAGTCTGTAATGTAAAATGCAAAAGTTAAAAAGGACAGTAGAGCATTAAACCAATTTAGATTATTTACCAGATAATCTATAATTTTTAGATGACTGTATTATTGTTGTTTTCTAAAATAGAATCAAAGAGAGGAAAGTTGATGCAGGGAGTGCCTGAGGCTGAGGATGGTGACTTTGGCTCAGATGAGGATGGAGGTAATGAAAGAGTAAAGGAAAAGAAAGCACGAGAGGCAAAGGCAGAAATTAGAGGTAATTAATAAATCATCCTTCTTATAATTCTGCATTCCTCTTTGGGTTACAGAGCCACATTTTTGGGGAGGAAAGGAAAAGACCCCCCCCCCCCCCCCCTTTCCCCCCAACAAACTTGTTGTAAAAGACACCTAATTTGGGGTACTTTCTTCGAGGTTGGAGTACAGTTACCTCAAAGGTGATGAACCAAAAGTCTGCAAACAAAATAAGCACAGTCTGTAAAACAGATGTGCACACAAAACTCAAGTTCTGGAACAAGAGAAAAGTCCAGAAATGGACTAATAACCAGAACTTTCTGCTGGAGTTTACAGCCGGCGAATGCAAAATAAAAAATAAGTCCTGCAAGAATTACATTTCATTAGTTTTATGCTATATGTGAGATTCATAGGAACAAAAAACCCTTGACTGTGTTGCCCGAAGGGGCAAATCAGGAAGGGAATAAGGGAAGAAATGATTGCAGAAAAGATGAGAGCTGAGCATCTGAGAAGAAATGCATTGAATACATATGATTAAAACAACAGTCCTAAAATCCCATGCTCTTCTTCTTTGTGGTCACCAGCTGTAAACTCTGGCGGAAAGTTCTGGTTGTTCATCCACTTATGGACTGCAGTCCTGTTCCAAAACCTGAGTGTTGCGTGTGCATCCGTTTTACAGATCTGACTCATTTGTGTGCAGACTGCTGGTTCCTTGCCTCTCTGGCAGATGCACTCTGACTTTAAAGGAAGCTTCCAATTAGTCGACTCTTATGACATGCTTTTGGGTAGGCAGTGAGTCTGTTCTTGTTTTCCCACAATGGGGCCCCGGATCCCACATGGGGAATCCCATGCTCTGATTGTGAAAGATTTTCTTAATGCATGAGGGTCTTGCTAGTTTACACTTGCCATCACCATGGGCTGTTAGGCAAAAACCTCCTCATAAGCGCAATATAACACTATTGTCTGGGAAAATGGAAATGTGTCAGTTAGCTAACATGCTTTATGTGGGGCGACACACGCAAATGTGATTTTAAAATTGACATTGTTTACTTTGCAATGATACATCAAAGGATACATTTTAAATGCTGGAAACTGGAAGTACATAACCCATGAAGAAATCTGGCAAGAATGATCTTGTGGATTGAAGTAAACTACTGTAGCACATTAGAAAGACTACACAGAAGATCCTTACATAAGCTTCAGAACCTGTTTTTTCTTTTTCTTCTCCACCAACAGGTGAAACAAACAAAACAAATGTATGCACACACTAGTAAAGTAAAGGACCTCTTTCCGCACCTTTAGGCGTATTGGCAATACAGGGCTAGACCTATATTTTTATAGACCAATTGGCATGCACACTCGTTAAACATTAATGTCCATTTTGAAAATCCAGTAACACTATGTCACATCCAGTTATAGGCTTTCACTATAGGCATGAGCAGAGATGACAGATTCTAGTGTAGCATGTACGCTGATGAATGTCCGCTACGGGCACTGTAATGATCTTACCTGTTACATGTTATAGTTTCATTGAAAACAAGTCAGCCCAAGAACATAATTACTAGCCCTTTTTCAAACATAAATAGAGAATGTTTAAAAAAAAGTAATTCATTGCAGTTAATTAACAGTAACAAAATAAATAAGCAGTAATTGAAAAGAGAGGATAAATTTAAGTTCATTGGTACAGAGGAATAGATGGGATGTACTCAGAATTGTATACCTGTAGTGTAGGGGTTATAAATGTGGCTTATAACTTTGAAATACCTTATTCAGTTTCAGCCAAGGATGATTTGGTAGCAGACGGCTTTGTGTTGATTTTGACATTAAAAGCTGACCATTTAAAAAGCAGTGGCAAACTGCTGAATATAAAATGTAAAGAAAAAAACCCAGAAACAACCAACTAATGTGGGGTGGTTTATGGCATCCTGGGATATGCAGCTAACATTTTAACACAAAAATAAAACATATTAATGGATTTAATAAATCTGGAGACTAAATTTCAATTAATTTAAAACTTTAAAAAAAAAAAACATGTTTAGTTGAAATATTGATCAATGATTCAGATGGAAAATAATTCAAGGTGGAGTGTTCTCAATGTGTTTTTAGAGAAGGCTGAAGCTAAATCAGCTGGCAAGCAAGGGGCTTCTTTGAAGGCTCCTCATATGTCCGGCAAAGAACTTGCACAATCAGGGCTGAAAGATAAGGATGCAGAGAGGGGGCTAGATGAGGCAGGGGCAGTCGGAGAGCCACATCAGATCTCATCCCCAAACTTGCCTTTCTCCGTTTCCAAATACGATGTGATTGGCTTGTTGGAGAAAGGGCATGTGCTTAGGTAAGCCTCCATCTTGTTTTCAAGGCGAGTCTTGTTTATTATCCATAGGTTTAGTATATACTTTTCTATATTAGAGCTTAGAGATGCGTTTTTTTTATTGCTTTGATTTTTGACTTTAGTATACACTTTCTGTGTTGATTTACTTATATATAGAACTTTGGATATTTATGGCAATGCTTGTGTGTTTATACTTGTGTGTACATGTGTTAGGTGTTTGTTTTTGTAAACACCTGAGGACCTTGATGATGATGCTGTTTGTATCAATTAATTTCATAAAAATAAAGTGTTCAAACTATTAAAATGTGATGTTTCAAAAAGAACGTGCACCAGTTTGGGCCATCAGACAAAGAACGTGGCACAGACTGGGAAGTGACTTTTGTCTTGTCCAAATCTTCCACTAACATTGTACAGATTATCTTTCAGTTAGCATCTAATACAATTTGTCAGCCTTCATATATCTATTTTCTGACTTTAGCATTGAGTTTGTCATTATGAGCATAAATCGATCATCCTAGCTTCATCTTGTTTCAGCACTAGTTTTGAATCATGAATACCACTTGAATATCTGTGCACGAGATAAACCTTGATCCCCAAAAACTGGAGTCTTCAGATCAACTGTCTCAGTAGCTCAGATTCCGCCTTTTAAGACATAATTTAATGTTCACTCTTTACTACATACTGCATATGTACCCACACATCTCTCACTAGCTAAACAAAATGGTGGTTTACTTGTCATCTGCTGAGCATGTGGTTGCTTCATGGATGGCATTTTTATTGAGCCCATAATAAAAATCAGGCGCATTTGAATGTTGACCGATGTATGTCTTTTTGTGTGTCTTTAAAGCATTTTGGATTGAAAGAGTTAATTTGCATTCCAGATTTGTGAACTTTGAATGTTAAAATCCTTTAATTATTTTTCAGTAAAGTTCAAGCCAGAACAGCTTTTGCCATGTACTTGATACGGGTTCAGCAGAGGTTACTGTCAGACTGTGGCACTGTCCTCCAGCAGGGTGATATAGATGCACTGAATGAACAGATGGTATGTGTCAAATGTCATAATTATGCTTGAGTGGTTGATTTCAGGGGCTGCCTTTTGTTTGTATCACATTGTTATCTGTGAAAATCTATGTATTTGACATTCTGGTATATTGATGATGTTATTGATATTTTTGGAAAAACTAAGATGAGTACAAAGATTATGTGGTCAGTATTCTTCTACTAGTATTAAAAAGTATTAGGATTCTGCACAGCACAACACAAATATACATTTTCTAAAAAAATATTTTTTTTTTTTTTTTGGGGTAAAAATAATCATGACAAATTTAACTCTTTCAGGGCCACATTTTTTCTGGGGGTTGAACAGCATAAATTGTGAACAGAATTTTTTTACTGCAACTTGACAAAACCCTTCCTGAAGAAAAAGTATTGGCTGTATCGGAACATATATCAAATTTAAGATAAATGAGTGCAGAATAAATCTAAACTATTTAAGTATCAGTATACAACAAAATATTATTAAAATCACACAATATTCAAGAATGCTTGACACATATGAAGATTATTTCCATCAAAAATGTGTGTTTACCTTACTTTTTTTTAAAACTTTTTTAACAACATTGCTATCTTATTCTAAGAATTCACCTGCCTTCTCTGTTCACTTAAATATCAGATAGTCTTTATTTGAAACAATAAATTTAAATACTTTGGATGATGTGATAATTTTTGTATGACATATCAGATTTCACAACAGCCGAAAGTCAGAAAAGCAGCTGATTGAAACATGATCTGATTGAAATATTTTGTTCGGTCTTCATAGTCTGAACTAAATTATCACCAGTATGTTAATCACTTGCATATCAGTCATAGTATCAAAACTATTGTCACCATCTGGCAGAGATTCATAAAAGACAGAGCAGTATGATCAGTTCTAGACCTTTTCCCTTTTCATTTTTTTTTTTTTTTTAAATCACGTAAAAAGTGAATCACATCTAAATAATAATTTTTTTTTTTATCAGAAAGGGACACAAATGTCACGCGGAATATCAAAAACGAAAGGATTTGCTTTTGCTATTCCTAGTTTTTCAAAACATGTTCATAAAAATTAGTTTTTCCTGCAAACGGAACAGAATTAGAATGTCTCTATGATTCGCCAGTATACTGGTCAATAGTCCATTCAGGATAAATTCAAAAGCCAGTTAACTGGCGATTAGTCCTCAAAGAGTTAAATAGTCTGACTACATTAACACCTCACTCCGCAGTTATTAAAAAAGGTCATTATCCCATGAGAATTTCTGAAAAATTATTATCTATATCCGTTTTTATCAGTCTATTTGTAGTTTTTTTTTTTTTTTTTTTTTTTTTTTTTTTTTTTTTTTTTTGCCTGTTACTTCTCCAGATCTGGCAAGTGACCCTTAATATATTCACATCCTGGCACTACGCAGGAGCACACAGAAACAGTAGCATTTAACTGCACATTGTCAGAATAGGTCACCTCAGAAATAGCAATGTATCAGCATTTACAAGGCTGTGTCCAAACCGGAAGTGACTAGGTTTAGCTTTGTAATGGCTCTATGTTTAAATATACAGTGGTGTTGGAGGGAGTAAAGTTCAGCTTTGTAATGGCTCTATGTTTAAATATACAGTGGTGTTGGAGGGAGTAAAGTTCAGCTTTGTAATGGCTCTATGTTTAAATATACAGTGGTGTTGGAAGGAGTAAAGTTCAGCTTTGTAATGGCTCTATGTTTAAATATACAGTGGTGTTGGAGGGAGTAAAGTTCAGCTTTGTAATGGCTCTATGTTTAAATATACAGTGGTGTTGGAAGGAGTAAAGTTCAGCTGGCAGAAGAAGAGGCAGCAACCAAAAGCTGATACAGGACATTGAAAACAACTGAGATATGAATTAGCAGGAGATAAAGGAAGTGGCAAGGAGGATGATGATGATGGCACTGGTAGCCTTTACATTCCCAGAATGTTTTATAGGCCAGTCTCTGAACTTTACTTCCCCCCCCCCCCCCATCCCTTTTCCTCCTCCTTCATTTATGAATGCTTTTCTCTCTCCCTCTTCCTCATTTATTAATGCTCTTTCTGTTCGACCTGGCAAAAACCTTACAATTTTGTTTACATTATTTTGATGTTTTCGCACACGCATATTGTCTTTGTATGTCTAGTACAGCTCAGATATCTCATACATTTATATGATCCAATTCTATATTTCCATGTTCTAAAGCAGGTCATTCTTGCAAGTGAGAGCTCTTTTGTCACATAGCCCATGACAGAAATAGTAATTAATTGGTATCATAATTAATTGCTGTCATATTCGTATAACCTATGCATATATATATATATATATATATATATATATATATATATATATATATATATATATATATATATATATATATATATATATATATATATATATATATATATATATATATATATATATATATATATATATATATATATATATATATATTAACTATGTGTCCCAATTTATTGGTTCAGTTTATGAGCATTCATTTTGATATTTGCCAGGACCTAGTGTTGAGGTTCCTGAAACGAGCAGCTGCCAATTTGCATCAGATTTTTCGTGTTGTTGTTCCAAGCAAAAGGCTTCCCCTGGGTGACAGAAGGAGAATTCTAGCCAGACAGTTGGGAGATTTTGTTCAGTTATATAATAAGGTAAACAGATCTGCTAGTTGTTAGTCGAGCTTCCAGTGTCACTGTAGTTAGGTCACCCTGTATCAGCTCTGTTCCTCTGCCAGTTGAAAATCACACAAATGTCTTTAACTGTCCCTGTCAGTCCTGGCAAAAATCTGGCACAGGCAAAGTAAAAATGCAAAATGCAGGCTTCAGATGTGCCAACACTAATGGTGTCTCACACCAGAATTGCAGCTCACTGTTGGTGCACACGGTCAACAAACCGATCTGCTGTGTTATTTGAAAAGCATTTGAATTGTGAATATAATGTTTAGAAATTCATCCGTTCAAGGTTGCTTGCGAAAACCATAAAGAAAAAATGAAAATTTATGGAGCATAGTACCATAATAGATGGCATAGAGTATATGTTAACTATTCAGAAAATACTAGGTAAGAGAAACAGGTGAAGACAGAGAAATATGTATCTGGAGGGACTAAATACCTGCAACAAAAAATGACGCAGACACTACAGATTTTATCAACAAACAAATAACAGAGAGAAAATGGAGACTCGAATTCCAGACAAGGAAACTGAAGAATTTGGCATGAACATGGTAGAGAAATCTCTTATGGTAATCATGATATTGAGGTAGTTGGGTAGTGTAAATCCTACCAGCAGATGTAAGGCGCTCCCTTTTCTTCGTGGCAACTGTAACAGCTCATACAAGATGGCTGCAGCACTGTTAACATGCACCAGAAAGAGCAGCGAGGTGTTATTCTTGTGACAACACCCACTCTTATATGCCTGCACATACAGTGGATACATTGAAACATTTACCATCCAGCCCAGACTTGGCACCATCAGACTTTCATTTGTTGTAGCCCATTGAAAGAACATTTGCAGGGTCAGAGATTTGCAGTTGAAACTGAGGTGCTGTTATTGGTGCAGACTTGGTTACTGACCAGACTCAAATTCTTCTACCTGGTGGGCATCTGTAGTCTTGTGCATCAATGGACTACATGTTTTGCAAGGCAGGGAGACTATGTCAAAAAACAGGATGCAAAACAATTTTGTTCCCGCTGCTTGTAAAAACTTATTAATGCAATTGCCTTTACTGAATGACTTACCCCCGTATTATCTTAATTTGTTTTCTACTACTTTTTGTGTTTTTCCCTTAAATTTTTCTTCAGATATGGCATTATTATCTCTGTTTGTGTGTGTGTAAGTCAGTAATGCTTGCTAATTTTCAGGAAACAGATACAATGAAGGCAATCAAGGTCAGGGGGAAGCTGGAGAACAGGCGGCCCAAACTTTCAGACAGCTGTGAAGGCTTAGATGAAATACAGTTTGATCAGTTTGTCTACACTGCTTCGTAAGTGCTCTCGTCTGTCTTCCTGTATCTCTTTTTTTTTTCTACCCCATTTTCTCCATGTCTCTTTCTTTTTCTTATTTTGTATCTCATCTCTGATCCCTCTTTCTCCTGTTTCCATTGTTTGTATATCTTTCTCAAATTAGTGTACTTTTTTTTAAACGAGTCTCTTGGATTTGTTTTTGATGCTTCTTATTTTTCCACGTCTGTTTTGTGACCCTTAATTGCGATCTGTTATGATAGAACTGAAGGCAAACACACACACAGACATATAAACTAGGTAAGTTTTTTCAATGTCAAAGCTACACAAGGACATTTGCTGGAAGATGTGACTTGGAGATGAGAAACATAAACACCTTCATCATCAGATATTTTTTTTAAAAACAATATTAGGTAGCAATTTATTTTTAGTTAAAAAAAAAATTTTCATTTAGAAAATATGACAAGTACAATCTTGTGTGTAAGATGTGTATGGAAGATGTGCAAATATTATATAATGAAACAAGAAACCAGAGGGTATGTGATTTTTGCAAAATGGTACTGAATATCCTGAACAGTGAAGAAAACAAATGCTGAAGTATTGAAAGCTTCTGGTGTGACTCACTTCTGATTTAAGAATCTACTTCGTAGCACACTTGGCATTTTCATAGATGCTCTGTCTCCCGCTGCAATCTCTTAAGGTGTAGATGTCAACGGTTCCTGCACCACATTGATTATACACACACATTCTCTTACTCTGAAAACTTCCCTCCTTGTTGGATCTGCTCTAATTTCATGCATTCATACACATGTTATTTCATCTAACCTTGTGTCTTCTTTTAGCATTCACTCATAAATGGTCTTCAGAATGTCTCATGTGTCCAGTACAGGTGTTCGGGCAGCCTGAAAATCTGCTCTTTTATTGACTCACACTCATACATTTCCTGGACAGTATATTCTACTGGTGTTATAATATTAGTCACTATTATTTTAAAAAAAGCATATTTTAAAGGCATTTCAACAGAAGAGAGGAGAGAAACACTTCATATTTAAAAAATCCCCGTGTGGGTTCCGGGGCCCCTATTATAGAGAAAACAAGAATAGACCCACTGCCTACCAAAAAGCATGTCGTAAGAGTCGACTAATTGGGAGCTTCCTTCGAAGTCGGAGTGCATCTGCCTGAGAGGCAAGGAACCAGCAGTCTGCACACAAATGAGTCAGATCTGTAAAACGGATGCACACACAACACTCAGGTTCCGGAACAGGACTGCAGTCCAGAAGTGGATGAACAACCAGAACTTTCTGCCAGAGTTTACAGCTGGTGACCGCGAAGAAGAAGAAGATATAAAAATAAAATAAAAAAGCAAAGGCTAGCAGGACCGACAGAAAAAGATATGAGTTTAAAGCCTAAACAAATGGACAAAAAATAATAATATAGACAACACCAGTCCTGTCCTGTCAAAATACAAAATGACAGAAATGATTGGGGAGTTTTAATGCCATTGTCTGCTCTGCTCCAAACCAGACATCTCAAGAGGAGGTAATAACAGACGGATTGACTGTCCCTGAGCTATAATTACAAATAAATATCAGGACCATTGCTGCTGTAGCATGGATCTAACACACTCTTCTGAGACAACTCTTAACCTACCTGCATTCATTTTCTCCTCTACCCCTATTCCTTTCCTGATATTTTTTCCCCCTCTCACAGGCAACATAATACATGGCATCCTGTCTATCTCAAAACATGTATCAGTCATGCCCCCTCCCCTAGCACAATTCTTACTATCATAGAAGAGGCTAACCTTGACATTTTCTACAGACTAGTCGAGGGCTAATTGGTATATACCAGTGGTCTCCAACCTTTTCCAGGTGGCACCCCTCTCCCCCCAACCAACACAATAATGTGATTTTTATTTTTAAATGAGAAAGAATGTGTTCTTGATCTAAAATTAATGCATGTTTTATAACATTGATAAGATTTTGAATGGCAGATGAACAAACTACTTATTTTTTTAAAAAGGCCTCAGCTTTTTTATTTTATAGCTTAAATCATTTATTATTAAACTGGAAAAAATGTCAGGGTTCGGATGATTACAAGTAGAAATGAATCAATTTTCCACATTTCTTGATGCTCTCTTGCAACTTCATGTTCCCTAAGGGGATTGCCCCCCCCCCCCCTTTTCCCCTACCTCAGGATATAGAGACCTACCTCAAGATATAGAGTTCTAGTCTAAATGAATTTGAGACTTTCTCTATATTCTGAATACACCTAATGATATGGAAACATGCCCTTTGCTTCATGTCTTAGCAGACGTGAATTCATTTTTTTTTTTTTTTTAATCTGTTTGACTTCTAGGGAAGGTGAGCTGGAGGAGGTTCTGACAACCTACACAAAAATCAACAAGTCTGCCGCCATTTTCCTGGGAGGTGACTCAAAGTCTAGCGTGTTGGAAGCCAAGAAGGACAGCCTTATTCGCCGTAGAGAATACATGGACAGCACTGAGAATGCTGTCTCTGTAGGCAGTATAGATGGCGTGAACAGAGTTAGACATGGTAAGAATTCTATTTTTTAGAAAGCACAGAGTCCGAAGACTTAGTAAGAATTCTGTTTAGAATTCTGATTAGGGATTAAATTTCTTCTGCCTTCTTTCAGTGGAAGGAACATTATTATATATCCAGTTTTTTCCGTTTTAGGATGAAATTTTTTGTTATTTGAAGCCCCACCCTGGCTTTTGCAGGCCATAAATATGGCCAATTGTCTGAACGCGGTTTCTGGGACCTCTCTACGGCGATCCTCATCCACATGGTGGCACTTTGTGTCATCGGGTGTTTATCGCTTGTGTGATGTCCTAATGGGGTAGAAAGTCAGTCAGTCAGTCAGGAACATAACCCCCTCAACCAAATCATCCCAACACACCCTGCTCCTTGCCATCTCCTGTAGCTCTCTCCTTATTATGTTTTTTCTAGTATAATTATTCATAATTGTCTAAAATTCTCTTCTTCAGCTTTTTTGACACTCTGTATCCCCTTTTGCCCTGTGGGTTTCAGTACATGGATATTCTAGTATACTATTGTTGGATTTTCTCAGGGATGTCAAATCCAGTAACAGCCTATTTTCCTCATCTCTTAATTCACTAACAATTTTTGACATAAATTGCATATTTTACTTAACTCTGTTGCTTCGAGAAAGCCAGTTTTACTACTTTTATGGGTTTTTGATGAAATGGTGTCTATGGCTGGTTGCCAGTACACATATATAACAGCTTTTTTACTGGTAGCAACTGCATAGTCTCGATGTGTTAGTATGATGATTTGCTTGTCATGGCTCTGTCAACAAAACCCCTGTTTTCATGGTCAAAGAGAAAGAAAGCAGTCAATTCTTTGCTCTGTTTGGGTTTAGAGATTACTTTCCTTCATTTGTTTTTTTAAAGTAACCTTTGCACAGAATAATAATTATAAATACTTTTTTTTAAATTTGTGTAGCAAGTTGATGACCATGATGTTGCAATGACTGTCTTGCTTATATATCTGCTCAGCGGTCATAGGTTTTAACACCCCCCTCCCCTTTTCCCCTCCTGTATTTCTGTAACAACTGACCAAGACTCCAGATTTCTTCGACTTTTTCTTCTCTTCCTCTGGTTTCTAAGGAGAGAGTTTCAGAAAATTATAACAATGGGTTTCTTTTTTAACTAAATTGGTAAAAGTCTCATTTTTAAGATTCTTATTGGGCGTAAAGATTAATAGTGTTGATGTATCATTTGTACACTGCAATCACTGATGCTTCTCTGTAATTTGTCAATAATGCACATCATCATCATGTAGTAGAACGTCGCTCTTGTCATGGTCTGCCTGAAGGAAACCACTAGCTCTCCCACGTCATGCACTTTCATATCCAAGGAGTCTCTTATATCTTGTGCTTATCTTTATGGTGGTCGGCCACTAACCCTGCTTTTTTGGTATCATGTGGTCTGCAATTATTCAGCTATTGAGACAAGATGCTGTTTGTTAGCTAATCTTTCTTGACTTTCAGATCTGTTAGTATGTCATTATTTCTTTTCTTCTTTGTCTGCAGTATTATCAGAATCTTTCTTAATACTAAATGCACTTCCACCAATGAAAAAAAAAGTGTACAGAATCACTTTGAGCTGAGATGTGGGATGCAGAAGAGCCGAACCACATGTGGCAGTGCACCAGGGCAAGTGCTCATGCTGGTCAGAACCTAGGTACACTGTTCCATGGTCATTCTACAAACAGGTTCCCAAACAGAGGCCTGGCCAGCCTAGATAGGATTGTTTCCTTCTAATTTGAAGTGCGTCTTCCTGAGAGGCAACCAACCAATAGTCTGAAACACAAATACACCAGATCTGTAAAACAGGTGAAGACATAAAACTCAAATCCTCAAACCACAGTCTTGGACAAGCAAGTAGGGATTTCCGTTGAAGTTTAGAGCTGGTGAATGCAAAGAAGCTAAGATGGGTTCAGTGTGTACATCTCATGAGTTTCAATTTAGAAGATAACGGTTTCTTACATTCTTGTTTTTCTATTTTCAGACTCAATGGGTCCCAGTTTATCTGGCATAAATAATAACAATAATAAAGCTTTAAACAGTAAGTGGCCTGTTTGAATTTTGACCAAGCAATGTCTTTGTGTTTCTTCTTCTTTTTTGTTTGCCTGCTATAGTTAGTTAAGTGTATTGCACGGTCAGGTATTTCACTTACATTGTTAGTGAAATTATAGTTCATTGATTCTTCTGTTATTAAGATGGTTCTTCTGTTATTAAGAAATATTTATTTTAATTAATGATAGTGTTTCATTGTAGGGATTGCATATTTCATTTGACTTCAGGCTTGCAATGTAGAATAATTTTGTGTTATGATGCAGATGTAATGACTTGGCATATATAAAAATATAAATTTTTTGTTTGTTTGGTGTACTTAAAGTAATATTTGTCATTAGTTTCCCCTTTTTTCTTTCTTTTCTGAACATGATAAATCATTCTTCTATCTTATTATTATTAAACAAGATGTGATCATAAAGTTTAATAAGGGGCCAAAGCACTAACCTGAAAATGTTGAACTTTGACCTTTTCGTCTAACTTGAGCTGATCTGAAGCCACAGGCAGCGGATAATATTCTTTAGGGGACTCTAGGGGTGAAGTAGTCTAAAGGTCGGGGGTTCATTTAACGGCTGCGCCCTTTAGTTCACAAGTGCTATTTTTACGGAGATCCCTGGGGATTGTCGCTGGAGCTACAGAGTTCATGCTCTGCATGCTGCTTTCAGCAGGTGGCTAGCCACTATGTGGAGAAACACCAAGTCATATGGGATAAAACTTGTTGCATTGAAGTTGGTCCACTTGACTTAACTTCAAATTTTTAGCAGATGATTTTTTTTATAACCAAAATAAGATAAGAATGGAAAATTCCTCCTCGATTCCAGGGTAAGGATTGGTAAGGATTGGATATCTAACCACTTGATTTCAGGGTAAGGATTGGATATCTTACCACTTGATTCCAGGGTAAGGATTGGATATCTAACCACTTGATTCCAGGGTAAGGATTGGATATCTAACCACTTGATTCCAGTTTAAGGATTGGATACCTAACCACTTGATTCCAGGTTAAGGATTAGATACCTAACCACTTGATTCCAGGGTAAGGATTGGATATCTAACCACTTGATTCCAGTTTAAGGATTGGATACCTAACCACTTGATTCCAGGGTAAGGATTGGATACCTAACCACTTGATTCCAGGGTAAGGATTGGATATCTAACCACTTGATTTCAGGGTAAGGATTGGATATCTAACCATTTGATTCCAGGGTAAGGATTGGATATCTAACCACTTGATTTCAGGGTAAGGATTAGATATCTAACCACTTGATTCCAGGGTAAGGATTGGATATCTAACAACTTGATTTCAGGGTAAGGATTAAATATCTAACTACTTGATTCCAGGGTAAGGATTGGATATCTAACTACTTGATTCCAGGGCAAGGATTGGATATCTAACCCCCTAGGACAAGAGTGAAAAAGTTCAGCAACTGAAATTTATTTTAAGAGTTTGTTAAATAATCTTTTGTCCCAGCTAAATTTGAAAAATTTTGCTATGAAACAGATATCTAAGCCTCAAATTTGGACCCATCAAAGATGCAAACATCAGAGATGGAGAGGGAGAAACAACAGTTAATTTCATTATCTGTTTAAACCGCTGCTTATTACTGGCATCATCAAGGCTGATAGACTGAAATGGTGTGGTCATGTAGAGACAATGACAGATAACAGAAAAATTAAATTGCTTACACAAAAGAATTGAATGGAAGTAGACCTAAAGCAAACCAAGAAGACAGTGGAGAGATGATGCACAAGTAGACCTACAAGTAGTCTGGTAGTCTTAGTTTCAGCTTCATAGCAAACGGGTCACCCCATCTTTGCTCGGCTCCTGTGCCAACGAAAAACACACAGAATGTTTATCACAGTATTAGATTTGCAGTTCATCATTGATGGTAGCAGAAGTCGCCAACAGATCAGCAGTTGCCCACGCGATAAATTTTAATCACATATGGGCACTACAACACTGCACGACAGGCATCGCGCCATTTTCTGAATCTATTCACACCAACACGTTGGTCACAGTCGAAAAAACATTCCAAATGCAATCCGCAGCTCACAGGGTCACGCCATGCATTCAGCTCAGAAGCTGGGCGACGAAACTATATCCAGTCTACAAATGGAACAAAAATGCATCGGCCACCGTCCGGCAGAAGCAAAAAAATTTGCCTCTGTTTCGAACAGTGCCGCTGCCTAACGTCCATTTTGACCGGAAGACCTACAAACAACTGGAGTCAACAAGTAGAAAGAGAAAGCCAATCACAGAGATGAATGGAGGTTGGGGATATGAACCTCATCAATGAACTTCAAGGGCTGTAGAAGAAGAAGACAAATCTGTCTTGAAATGACGGTGGGGAGCAACTGTAATGTAGCGGCCAGGTGCTGTCCCGACAAAGCAGAACTTTTTTTCAAAAATGACCTTGGCTCCCAGGTCAACCCAGCCTCAAACGGATACCAGATAAAGTCCTGGGAAGTAAAGGTGACTGGCGTGGTACTGACCACATCACACACCGAGTGACGATTGGTCTATAAAATTTGTCTGGCCCTATATGCCCAAAACACTTGGGGGTGTGGGGAAGGGTCCTTGACTTACTTTACTTTATGTATGTATTGAAGTGAACAGTGAGATGTCTGAGGAGGATTGCAAGAGTTGCCAGAAGAGATCAAATCAGAAATAAAGTCATAAGAAAACAAACTGGCACAGAACCAATTCTAAACTTTCATACAAAGTCAGCAAATCAAAGGCCCATCTAGAGATAATGTCTTGTGACACCATTCTATACAAGGCTTACAGCAACAGAAGAGAAGTATATAGAGCACAAGGTAGACCAAGAAGAGGACTGAAAGATAACATCAGAGCAACTCTAAAACAGTACAATGTATCTGTGGTCGAGGCAGTCAGAAGAGCTTCTTCTTCGCATTCTGTAAACTATGGTGGAAAGTTGTGAGTGTTCGTCCACCTCCAGACTATAGTCTATTTCCAAAACCTTAGTGTTGCGTGCACATCCGTTTCCCCCATCTGGTTTATTTGTATGCAGATTTTGTTTCCCTGCCTCTCTGGCAGATGTACTCGAAGGATGCCACCAATTGGTTGACTCCTACGTCATGATTGTTGGGGAGGCAGGCAGTGAGTCTATTCTTGTGTTTCTCTGCAATGGGGCCCCAGAACCTATGGAGAGACCAGAAGAGTAAGATGCAAAACTATGTATCTTCCTTGACACCTGAAGCAGTAGAAGAGAAAGTGAAGAAGCAGTGAAGTGAATACTAATCAAAAACAAAATCAAACCAAACTTTAGACAACCAACACCATAGCTCAGCGTAAACAGAAAAGGGGAAGAAATATTTGTCTCTCCCCAGACTGGTTGTACAGCTTGTAACAGTTTACCTTCCTTGTCTAGTATTACTTTTTGTAATAGTTTATCTTCCTTGGCCATGTGCTTAGGTGATGTCTCCAAAATATCCGTCCGTCCAGGCTCTGCCCAACTCCACACTCCGTCCTCACATTCCTACTCAACAGCTGTTGCAATCTACACTCAGAAGTTGAGAAGGCCACAGTCTGCCTCAAACAGTGCCGGCGCCTCTCTGGCAGGTAGACATATTTTTGATATTATGAAACTACACCGTTTTGTCTAAATGAGAGTCAGCGATGTGTGGTGAGTGATAGTGGGTGGATCAGTAATCACTGACTGACAGACATTCAGTCCCACCAGGACCGCACGACGAACAACAAACTACAGTGACACAAAGTGCCACCTTACAAACGAGTATTACTGGGAGCAAGTCCCAGAAGCTCTGTTCAACTCGTCTGCCATTGCCATTGAATTATCGATCACATTTCTTTTTTAAGTAGTTATTAAATTTGTGTAAGACTGGGAGCTTTTCTCCCTAAGTTGATAATAACCATGATACTGCCAAGATGTTTGCTGCTTTTAAAACCTCCTTTTAGGGTAATTACAATGGTTTTACACTTCTATCATTACAGAATTTGGTCAGCATTATACCCACTATTTTAATACTTTTTCAATACATTACGTCTGGAAGAATGCAATTTACCATTTTTTCTGCTTCCTAGAGCTGAAGTACTTTAAATTTATTCAAAGTGAGGATCAAGTGTTTCTAGAGCTTGCAAAATGATTAATCTATTTTTAACCTTAACTTCAGAAGCACATACACAGACCATCACAAAGATTTTTAGTGACATCTGTTCCATACTTTCGCTAAGTTTGTAAACAAGCCTTTGGCATTCTGTGCATACTTCCATACTTAATTTATACACATTTCTGTAATAAAAATAGCTTCCTTTGTTAATTTGATCATGTGTGTTCAGTCTATTCCAACATTAATTTGTTTCACATTTAGTTCTATTTTAAATTATTCAGAACTGGTATTTTAAAAATCTGGATGTATATAAACTTTTAGAATATAGTTTAAATACAGCTGCTTTTATTTAATTCTTTAAGCATTTCTTTCATTTTCATTTTTTTTTCCTTAATGGTGAAAATTCTGGAAGTTTATTTAGGAAGGAGCCAGTGAAGGGGCACATCAGTGTATGATTTCATACAAATCTGTAGTTTAAGAAACTGATAAATGATTGCTCAATTGTGAGAATTATTGAATACTTTCAGCTCATACTACAGACAACCGTCCAGCATCATCGTCAGGAAATTTTCCACTAGTTTTGGCACAGAATCCAGTATTTACTACATTGGATCCTATTGTTGGTAAGCACCATTTTGGCAAGAGGGTTATAATTTTGTCAGTAAAATATTTTGTATCGTACGAATGATATCTTTTCTTTAAATAAAGATGTCACAATAATCTTCAAAGAGCATGACAATGCCACAAACTCTGAATTCTCTGGTTCCATAATTAACAACAGTCTGAAGGTGACTGGCCCTAGATGAAGCCCTGAGAAGTAATAAAATCAACTCTTTTAGTAAGGTCTAGTTCCCTGTAATTGTCACTTTCCTGACTTTCCTACGGTGGCATGTTTAAAAGATGCATGCTTAATGCTATTGGCTGAGTTTGCACTTTTACACATGATTTACTCATGCACCACTGGATCGATAACAACAACAACAGTACTTGTTGACATTGCACATGATAATTTTGATTAACACTACCAGACCTGAGACCCTTAACCTGGGCATTAACGCGAAACAACCGACAAAAATATTAGTTACATGCAAACAAGAGGTAAGAATAAGATAAAACTTGGAGACATTGTAGAAAATAGGTTTACCTTTTATCTAGCGCCAATCTTCCACCTTTGAGTGCCAGTCCACTCAGCAGGATCAGCCTTGTTTCACAAAGTGAGCACCAGATGTTGCTGTTTGAGGGACACCCCCTTCCCCGCCCCCTCACCTCTTTTTTCTCTTACTATCAATCTAGTTCTAGATCTATAAGGTTCAAGATTCTCCTCATGACTCGAGCTCTCATTGTCTGTGTCACTTGAACTGGGAACGTACTCTCGATGAAATTCTGACTCCTCAGAGTCTGAATTAACCAAAGTATTGATCACCTGTTGGACTGTGAGAAGCCTTAACCTACTTCACTTTCCTGCCAAAGTGCTCGTTCCATCAACCACTCGTTTCATTGTGAATTTTCAGAATTTTTTCGTGTTCAACCATACAAAGTTAATCCAGACACATGTGGGCAGTCATTCGCAATGGTGATTTGATCACGATTGGTGAAAAAAAAGCAAGCTATTAATATCCATTGGGTGACTTCTTGTACAGCATGTCATTTGTCTTCCTTTAGATACCTACAATGAAAAAGCCATCCAAGATGCCTTGCAGCGTTTGGCCCTGCGGCAACAAGCTCGCCAATACTCGGTGGTAAATGGTACCAGTGTTCTCAGACCAGAGACTGTCACGTCAAGGCCTCCCTCAGGCACAGGATCCACAGCTTCAGCAGACAAGGATTCAAAGATTTCCATGGCTGGCCACTCTGTTGGTTAGTTTTACCTTTCCATACATGGTCGCTATCTGAACTCTTAATTTTGCTGTTTGGTTTTGGTTTTTTATTTGTGAGGGTGAATGTGTGTGTGTGTGGTTGCGGGTCTGCCTATGTGTCTGTGCAAAAACTTTATGTGAGGGTTGAAAAGTCTGATTTATAATAAATAAAATTAAAAAAAGTAAGTTAAATGTGTAATAAATAAGGGAAACAGTTATAAAATATGCAGAATCTCTTCTGCTGTATGGCAGCGAATCTTGCAATGTATCTTCTCTTTTTAGTTATGCTGGGGCCCCATTTTGTTTTGGGGGGGTGGGGGGGGGGAATATACCCATTTCTGCCACCACCCTTCTCCTCTTCCACAAATAAGCATTTCCTAAAAGATAACTGATTAAAAGTTTGCAGAAGTACAGTTTATTGAACAAAAGGTGCAAATTAAACAGCCTAGCTGTAAACCACAACACACCCTTTTATAGTGAATGAAAAAGAAAAAGAAAGAATGTTAATGAATTAATTAGGCAGAGATTGGAGGTGGTAGACAAATGAGAGACAAATGTTAGGAATACCTTTGTAGTCAACTGTCAGTCCCTGGCGACTATGGAGTCATGATTTTGGGAACAGCGTCTGCTATGACTGTAAAGTCCAATGCAAGAGTGGAAGTCTTTACCACATAGTCCATGTAAAATGTTGGTTTTTGTTTGTTTGTTTGGGCGTCTCCTCTCTATTGCTTGCTGCATCTGCCTCTTTCAAACTGCAACAGTCCATCTTTCACTGTCTACCTCCAAAGGAGTCAGTCTGTTGCTGATCTCTCTCAAGTGTCGGTGTTGATATCTTTCTTGTTGTTTTGGCATGTGTCCATATAGCGTAGCTTTTGCCTCCCTTATTGGTTAGGTCTTACCCGTGGTATCTTTTGGAATGCAACATCATTCTTTGGAATGCAAAACTAAGCTTTCTTTCTTGTCACTCTGCCATAGAGCTGTCCATTATCGGCTTGTATGGTTCATTTTAACGTTTGCTCCACATTCATACACTGTGTATGAAAATATCTGCTGAGTGATGTTCATTCCCAGCAGCACCGCAGTAGGAGTGACAAACAACTGGTGACACGAAGTGCCAGTATTTGGATGAGAACTACCCGGGTACAAGTCTGAGAAGCCCTGTTCACCGGTAGGTTATATTAGGACGTCCGACTACAGCCGGGGGGGGGGGGGGGGGGGGGGGGGGGGGAGTTTTTAGGAAAAACAAAAATTGACACCCAGTTTGGGGCGATCCTTAATTAAATAGCTGCTGAGAGGGAAGTCATCACTAATTCAAGTTTGGCCTCGATTGTCTCTAAGAGATTTTCTTTTTGTCATCCCATCATAACCACAGAAATGTGATGTGACATTCCAATACTCTTGCTGAGATTGGAGAGATAGTCTCAAACCCACCAACACTAGACTCCATGTTGTTTTGTAAATGTTTTATGATGCCCTAGTAAAACTGTGCTGCATGTTTATATAGTTTAAGAGGCTTCCTGGGATTTGAACCTCTCTGGTTGTGAACCCTGAGATGTTAATCCTATAGACTGCAAAAAAGGAGGGGGAAAACTAAAACATTTTCCCTTTTAACATATCAGTTGTTTGATTTCCCTCTGTATCACACCTGTTTGACACAACATTTGATTATTTTCCCCTTTTAAAACATAAATTTGATGATTTCCCCTTATAACACATCTGTTGGATATTTCCCTTTTTAACACATCTGCTGGATGATTTCCCCTTATAACACATCTGTTGAACAATATCCCCCTTGTAACACATCTGTTGGATGATTTCCCGTCATAACAGGGTTTCCCCTAAGCATGTCTGATGGATGATTTCCCCTTATAACACATCTGTTGAATGATTTCTACTTGTAACACATCTGCTGGATGATTTCCTCTTGTAACACATCTGATGTGTTATTTCCCATTATTACACATCTGTTGAATGTTTCCCCTTTATAAAACATCTGCTGAATATTTCCCCTTATAACTCATCTGTTTGATGATTTTCCCTTATAACACATGTGTTGGATGATTTTTCTCCAACATGTCCGCTAAATGATTTACCCCTCAACACATCTTGTGGATGATTTCCTCTTATAACACATCTGATGGATGATTTCCGTTAGCACATCGGATGAATGATTCCCCCATAACGCATCTGATGGATGATTTTCCCTTATATCACATCTAATGGATGGTTTCCCTGTATAACTCATCTTAAGGAGGATTTTCCCTTATAACACATCTGTTAGATATTTCCCTTTTTAACACATCTGCTGGATGATTTCCCCTTATAACACATCTGTTAAACAATTTCCCCCTTGTAACACATCTGTTGGATTATTTCCCGTCATAACAGGGTTTCCCCTAAACATGTCTGATGGATGATTTCCCCTTATAACACATCTGTTGAATGATTTCCACTTGTAAAACATCTGCTGGTTGATTTCCTCTTGTAACACATCTGATGTGTTATTTCCCATTATTACACATCTGTTGAATGTTTTCCCTTTATAAAACATCTGCTGAATGATTTCCCCTAATAACTCATCTGTTTGATGATTTTCCCTTAAAACACATGTGTTGGATGATTTTTCTCCAACATGTCCGCTAAATGATTTACCCCTCAACACATCTTGTGGATGATTTCCTCTTATAACACATCTGATGGATGATTTCCATTAGCACATCTGATGAATGATTTCCCCATAACGCATCTGATGGATGATTTTCCCTTATAACACATCTCATGGATGGTTTCATGTGTAACTCAACTCATGGAGGATTTTCCCTTATAACAAATCTGTTGGATGATTTCCCCTTAACACATCTGATTGATGATTTCCTCTTAACATGTTTAATCAGAATGCTACTGGCACCATTAGTATCGGAACTCTTTGCTGGCCGCTGAAGATGGAAAGGGAGCGCTTGCGGGAATGCCCCGAGTGCTGTGATGTCGGTTCTTGAATCAAATCAATCAATCAATCCATCAATCTTAACACGTCTCATGAATTATGAACCCTTATAACACATCCCATGGATGTTTTTCTCTTAACACATCTGTTGGAGGATTTCCTTTATATCACATGGGCTGGACCCCTCATTGGAAATTGTCACATTTCCTACTGTAGCTAAAGCTAGTAGTTCCTGCTATTCAGTAACTGATGCAGCTTGTGCTTATCCTTTATTGTATTTTATTTTCTGTCAATCAGTATCAATGAGCATTCGATGGAACATGTCAGGGCATAGGGGGAGTTTGTCCCCTGCACCACCTTCACATATTCTAGGTCATGGCTTTATCATAGAAGATCCCCATGTGGTTTTCAGGACCCCATTTTTGGGAAAAATAAAATCTCTCTCCCTCCCCCTCCCCACCCCATATTCCCAAGGATGTTGTGCAAGCTGACTCATTAGGGAAGTGTTCTTTGAAGTTGGAGTGCATCTGCCTGAGAAGCAAGGAACCGGTAGACTGTAAATAAATAAGTCAGATCTGTAAAACAGATGTAAATGCTGGAAAAGAGCCATGCCAAGAACTGGATGAACAACCAGAACTTTCCTCTATCAGCCAGTGAGCGCTAAGAAAAAGGTATAAAATATTACCTCTTTCTTTCCTGAAAACCTATATAGCGTAAGCATAGTTATCTGCACAATTTATTGTTTATTTTTTTTATATTTCGCTGTATCTCACCAGGTGAATACTACAGTAACAATTGATTAAAAAAAACAAAAAGCAAATAAATGAATCCTTTGAACTAAAACACAAAATCAACTACATTCAAAAACTGTTTCACCAGGGTAAACACAAGGTAATGACCATACCCTTCTGTCGTAATTCTGGACTAAACCACATTATAGTGGTTGTTTCTACAAATTTCAATAATCTGCGGTTGACATTACTACTGTAGTATGCACATGATGAGATACAACGAAATATGCACGGCAGTAAATTGTGCGATCTATTTTTTGTGTTTGCTCACATTCACAGCGGGTAAACATTGCTTTGATAGTTGCTTGTGTATCCTTTAAAAGATTCTGGACAACCAAAGATAAAGCGATTAGTATTTCTTCTCTGCCTTATCTCCACAAAAATGTCATTGTACTCAATTTTTTTTTTTTTTGGAGACTGTCAAACAAAGAGATGTGTGGTCTAAAAAAAAAATCTTGGAATTTTATCCTAAACCTTGCAGGTGGACAGATGAATGCTCTAGGCCAGCAGTAATAATCTGTTATACTTTTTTTCTTCAGTTTAATTGTAAATTCAACATTTTGTTTCAACTGTTTATAAACCTAAAAAGCCAAGAACGTATTGTTTTTGTAAGTTTGTACATCTTCCACTGTAGATTTATTGAATAGGTTAAGAGCAGCATTTAATTGTAGATTACGAACACATTCTGACCAAAAACGTTCCTGTTGGTGATTGTGTCCATTTTATCTGACACCACTTTGATTTATGTGGATGTTTCTCTTCAAACCACTTTGATTTATGTAGATGTTTCTTTTCAGACCACTTTGATTTATGTGGATGTTTCTCTTCAAACCACTTTTGATTTATGTGGATGTTTCTCTTCAAACCACTTTGATTTATGTGGATGTTTCTCTTCAAACCACTTTGATTTATGTGGATGTTTCTCTTCAAACCACTTTGATTTATGTGGATGTTTCTCTTCAAACCACTTTGATTTATGTGGATGTTTCTCTTCAAACCACTTTGATTTATGTGGATGTTTCTCTTCAAACCACTTTGATTTATGTGGATGTTTCTTTCTCTTCAAACCACTTTGATTTATGTGGCTGTTTCTCTTCAAATTATTTTTAATAGTACTTGTAAAATGCTGAGAAATTCAGAAAGCTCAGCAGCTTTTGTTCATTTTTGTCTTTGTTATAAATGAATCATGTGTTTTCACTGACTAACATTATTCAACAAAATTACCATATTAAAAAGAAAAACACCACAGATGCTGTATTCTTAGCAAACTACCTGTTTTTCCCTTTTTTGTCGATTAGACCAGGTCTGTGTGATGGCTGATGAGCATTTAGCACATTCATTAACAAGAAATACCTCCAATGGCACCATTAACCTTGCCTGGAAGCCTCCTCACCCATTGGTGAAAACACACAAGCAGTCTCGCCCACAGTCGACTCTGATGGCTACGTCTGCTAGTAATTTTGTGGAAGATCCAAGCTTGCGGCAGCAGAATGGGGTTGCTAATGCACACAGTGAAGTGACTAGGGTAATCCCTCAGAACCACCACATCACATCATTCAGCAACAGACAGTTTCAAATTGCACAGCAGGCAGCAGTCAAACAGCGACTAATGCATCAGAGCAAGGTATGCTTTTGTGTCAGCAGTTGCCAGGTTTTTAGTATTAGAGTTTACAGATCATATCCTGTATTAAGGGTTTCTGCGGTAAAGTGGTCGAGAAGTTCGTCTCTTTCTCTGAAAATATTTTAGATCATTATATCCGTATCCACAAAGATATGATAGGCTTGCAAGCAAAGCCACTGTGGAGGGCGGATGATCCATGAACCAGACTGATATTCTAATGCTTTGCAAGAATTAATATGTTTGCAGGACCAAGTGATGACTGACTCTGCAACCATGACCGGACTGGAAGAACAACATGTTAAAGGGGTGTGGCTAAACAAGACCACTGTGCAAGAAGCCAAAGATAAATAAGAAACCAACTCAGAGTAGGTGTTCTCAGCCACAAAATGCTGCAGGAAGGGGGCTGCGTGGTCTCGAGGCATGGTGTCCGCCTCGAGTGCTAGAGGTTCTGGGTTCAATCCCCGGTAAGGGCTGGGATTTTTTCACGTGGACTTGGACTTCTAGTAATTCCACCTGGTCTTTGAGTCGTGAGATTGGACGCCCGTGTGCATTGTTGCACACATAAAAAATCCCTTGGCAGTTGGAAATAAAAAAAAGTAGCCTAACGGCGCTGTCTGGGCAAAGTTTGGAGTTGAAAATCTACCCAAAGTATTTCAGTATCCTTGCCGGTGCTACAGAGCCTGTGCACTGTGCTGAGCTTCTTTGGACTCAGACTTGAGTTAGAAGAAGAACGGAGTATTTATGTGCACATCATGTGCCATGATGTTAATCTGTTATTCAAACCTCAAACCTAATTGCTGCAGGATTTACTGAGGAAGGGATCAGAGCACGTATGGACTGAATGGTTTGATGTACAGTAAGGATAATTGGTCAACTAACTAACTATATCCACAAAGAACTGTAGGCTGCACCAGGCTGTCCCCTGATTATAACTTTTTTGGAGATGTAAGAAGAAGAAGAAGAACAGGGTATTTGAGGTTGGCCCTGTTGGTGTGACACTTAGTGTAGGATATCTGTAACCTCAGGGTGAGAAAACCTTCAGAAAGCAGCCTGGAGGGGCAATGTCAGACTAGTTCTAAAGCCGAGGTTTCTTAACCTGCCGATCTCAACCCTTTTTTGGGGTCGAATTACCCTTTCACAGAGGTCATCTTAGACCATCAGAACACACTTATTCATTAAAGTTATGAAAGTAAATAATTGTTTGCGGGTCACCACAACATGAGGGTCGCAGCATTAGGAAGGTTGAGGGCCACTGTCCTAAAGTCATTGATTCTCTCCCTGTATGGCTTCCTGGCCCCCATTCTAGGGGAAACAAGGAATAGACCTAACCCCAACAGGCATGTTCTGCAAAGCAACTAATTAAGAAAGTTTATGTTTTTGAGTGTAAGCTTCTGTCCACATAGCTACTGTGCCTCGTATAGGTTTTTTTTGTTTTGTTCATCTTTTACTTTAGTTCAGACGTCTTTGCCCAAACAGGGCCGGTGTAGCCATTGTGGGCACCCTGATGATAACTGTTGTACTGTTGCATAGAGTGGAAACATGGAGAGTAAATAAAATAATTACTAATAAACTACAAACATTCATTAACTGATGCCTGCGCCGAATAGAGGGAATTAAATGTATGATAGAATCACTAATGAAGAGCTTTGGGAGAAAACTAAAAAAAAAAAGTTCCAGTTGAAAGAGGTGAAGAAAAGAATGGTTGGATAAATCACATGTTGAGAAAACCTGAGAACAGTATAGCTAGAATGTCTTTCCACTGGAACCCACAGGGGCATAGAAATAAAGGTAGACCAAAAACACACGGAGAAGAGAGCTAGAGAAGGAAGTTAAAAAGATGGGGAGAGCTGCATGCAATAGTGAAGGAAAGAACAACCTGGCGTGAGTTGGCTGGGAGCCTATGTTCCACTGGGGGTTCAAAGGCAGAAGAAAAAGAAGAGGAATTATAACTTCTTAGAACAGAGAGCTCTAGCTCATCTTTTAGGGAGAATTGATTACAGGCTATACCAGTGATTCCCAAACTGCGTGCCACGGCGCCCCGGGGAGCTGCAACCTCTTCACGGGGGCGCCGCGAAATATTCGAAGATACACGTTTTTTTTTTAAATCTCCTGCATACAATTAGTCATACCTTTACTTAAGTTAGAGCCACATGATAAATTTTAATTGAAAAAAGATGCCAAAACTAAGAAAAGTTTAGGAAACACTGGGCTTCACTATTTATCATAGTGTTAAATAATATTGCAGGCCATGCTGGAAGTATCAAAAGCAAAACATGAAGCTTCACTCTCTCAGGCTCAGGTGCAGCAGTCGTCATCTTCCTTGGAGACACCATCAAGTCTTCACAGTGAGGATTTGATCCAGGATACATTCATCACAATTCCTGACAATCTTCACTCCTTGAAGACACTCGTGCCAAAACCTCCTGAGCAGGTGTCTTACACACAACACCGAAATAACTTTCGCTCAAATAGGTATGATAAACTAGTATTACACATTTATATTATTGTCAAGTCAAAAAAGGGGGAAGAAGTCAGAAAAAATGTCTAGATAACCTCCGGTTCTAACAGTTATAAGATAAAGAAGACAGTAATATGAATTCTTGCATGCTACATAGAGCCAGTTTTATCATATTGCTGTGAATCCTGGACAGTTAATAAACAGGCCGAACAATTTCTTGAGGCCTGGGAGATGTGGTTTTACAGAAGAATCCTTAGACATGCCTTGGACTGCCAAAAAAGAACAACCCAGATGTTTTGAAAGAGGCAAGGACCTCTTTATATTTGTGCAAACATCGCACAATTTGTTGCTTGGGCTAGAAAGAGTTGAGTGATGCAGCACCAGGAAAAAAGATATCAACAAATACAAAATTTGATTTGATTTAATTTAGCAACAAGACGTTAGTAGTGCCATTTAATTTTCTAAGAGGTAAAACTGATCAGAATGATATTGGCCACATCAGCCATCAAGTGCCATTAGTCTACAAAATGGCGTTGGCATCATATATCCAATACACTCTGTGGCATGAAAACAGATCCTTGACTTAGTTAAAAATCAAGTACACTAACCACCAAGACTCCTGTGTTAACCCTTTTGTCAAATGACTGCTTAAAAAGTGTACTGTTAACCTGTGGAAATTCCCGACAAATCTTTTTAAAAAAAATATTTCAAATATACACAATTTTACTCAGGTCACTAATAAATGTTGTTAATGTATTTATCTGCATTTTAAATGTTTATTCTGAAATGTGTAAAGGCAGTAATCAGAAACATGAATAGAGTAAAACATGGAATGGAATACATACCCTGAAGCCTTAAAAAACAAACAACTATGTGTCAGGTGACTCATGCTATAACTTCTATCAGTGAGGCTTACAGGAAAATTTGACATCAACTTGGCTAAATCAAAACCATTTGGTTAACACGAAACTTTTAGTTAGTATGTTCATATCCAGGCTTCCTAAACACTACAGGCACAGAGAGAACCATCGGTATTTATCTACAGTTTCTGAGAACAGGTCACTGCAGAAATGCTGATACTTTGCATTCTGGTATTTACAGGAAATATGTCACAACCAGAAGTAACTAGATCTAGTTTTCTCAGGGTGGCATGATTAATTGTTTGAAATTTTTCTTGTTAAACCGTTAAATTGAAAGAAAAGCATTTCTAGATACAGAGCATAAAAAACATGTGGAACATTTCTTCATCAGAAAACCAACAGTGGGTGAGAACAACCTAAACTTTCACTTCCATTCCAACTTATTGGCAGCAGGACAAGACACTCAGAGCTAGCAACTGGTAAGTAGCAGCAAAGAATAGAACATTTTTAAGTATCTGTTTTTACTGGCCATGTTTAGAAAGTGTCGGCATCCGTGGCTCAGGCGTTGTGAATGTTCCTCGTAATTCAGTGATTCCAGCTATGGGCAATGTGACAGCAGACCATCTTGTGTTGATTTCAGCAGTGGTATCAAGAGCTGACCATTTAGAAGCGATAGTAAAATACCTAGTGAAAATAAAACAGCGAAAAAATGCTGGGATTGGATCTGCAACATCCTGTAAAGGTCAAACAGCTGCCAACTGTCAAATACTTCCTGTGGCACTTCTGCGATGTAGGCAGTTGGTCTTTGAGCATGGTCTTAGGTTTAAGTTTAGACAACTGTATAAACCCAAAATTATCATGGCACAAGGGGTAACCCATAAGTGCTCCATTCTGCTTTTGACTCAAGTCTATATCCGAAGAATCTAAGCACAGTGCACGAACTCAGTAGCACCAGCGAGGATCCTGAAACAGTCTGGGTAGATTTTTAACTCCAAATTATGCCTGGGCAACGCCGTTAAGCTACTCTTTTTGATTTCCAACTGCCAAGGGATTTTTTTACGCGCGCAACAGTTCACTACAGCATTCGATCTTACTACCCAGAGACCAGAGAAAATTATTAGAAATCCACGTGAAAAAATCCCCACCTGAACCTGAGACCACGCAGCCACAGGTCTTTGAGCATGCAACTAACTATGTAAAAAAGTACATCTTTCTGATTCCGAAATGTTTCTTGCAACCTGACAGTTTGTTGTTAGTCCCAGAAGAATTATGTATTCTGTGATAATCAGTTACCATCTATTTCCACTTTGCTCCATTTAACCAATTAGGCTTCTGAAAAGCTGAATTATGGAGAGGTCGCTCACGTATAGTTTTTATTAAATAAGTATATGCCATATTTGTCTGTATGTAAGAAAGATATCTTTTCACAAATTTGCCAAGTTTAAAATTGGGGGTGGTCTTATACGCAGAATTTGATTAAAATATTTTTTTCATAATTCTGAGCTAAGAAAATGATGTTAGCTCATAAGTGGGGGAAGGGGGGGGGGGGGAGACACGTCTTATACACTGAAAAAATATGGTAATATTGTATTCAGAATTCTGATTTGATTGTGACATGCTGAGAAAGGTGGAGACAGGTATGCTCTGGGCAGAGTGGCAAGCATTGCTTCAGATGTCTAGGGTAGCTAGCATCCTTTAGATATTTTTTTCAAGGACAGCAGGTGTGATGGGAAACGAACAGGCAGATAGACTAGCTGGTTCTGCACCACTGGATGGTGAAGTGGTGCATGACAAACTTGATGTTGTCAAGGCCCATTAGGAGTGAGTGAACAGTGCACAGGCACAGTTGGATTGTCATGGTCCGAAGAGAACGATGCAACAGGGTTGACCAGGAGATCTGGTCGACACTCCACACTCAGATTAAAGGCGAGATGAGCATACAGTCAGACTGTCACTGGTACTATTGGAGTTGGGACTCTTTGTTGGCTGCTGAAGATGGGGATGGAGCACACATGGGAACGCCCTGAGTGCTGTGACCTCAGTTTTTGAAACTCAGCTAAGTTCAGCTCAACTTGTTTGCGATTGTTTCTTCTCTTAGGATGCCAGCACTACTATTGTTCTTGGAGTCCTAGATCCATTTGTTGTAACTATCAGATCGATAGTTTGTCCTGAATTTCTTCCAAGGGAGCTTGAGGTGACAGGAGAGAGAATTTGTGAGGGATGTTTGAGATATCTTGGTTTGTACAAAATAATAAAGGCGAAGATACATTTGTTATATATGGATAATAGCAGGCAGAATCTATTTAATTCACATTATGTAACTTATATCAACAGGCAGCAAATTATTATTTGAATATTTTTCAATATTTAAATATGTTTGCACTATCTTTTGAGAGAATAACACGTCCAAGACTTTTCTACAGCAAAGAATATTTAACTCTGTAATCTGTTCAGGAAATGACATTAAGAATGAGAAGATTTACTTCTATTGCCCTTCAACACATTGGAGCATGAGACCTTAACCCACAAAAAGCTTCTTTTTTTTTTTATCTTAAAAATTTTTTTTTTAGACTAGTTCTTAGTTGGTTTTTGCAGCAGAAGTTACTTATTATTGAGGTAACCAACCTCAGCCTTTGCTTATTTGTCTCTTATGACATTGTAGCATTGTTAGTATACTTTGTTTCCACTAAGGGTCCATGTAACATACAGAGTATCAGTATACTTTGGCAATCTAGTCCATGTATAATATAGCAAAGTAATAATCAACAACCCTTGTGATCTGCTGATCAGTTGCTGCTGTGGTGGGAATATTTAGACAAGTACAGAATTGGACCTCAGGTTTCTCCGTAACTGTCAGGAGGCCTAATATATCGTGTCTCATACAGTTGAACATTTTTTCCTGACAAAGCACCAGGGTTGATCTGGAGAATTGTAGATGGACCCTTTTCCATTCCTTTGGGCATGTAGGGCTAGACCTATATTTTGTAGATGAATTGGCACTCAGTGCGTGATGTGGTCAACATCATGCCAGCCACCTTTACTTCCCAGGATTTTACCTGGTACCCATTTAAGGTTGGGTTGACCTAGGGAGAAAAAAATCTGGCTCTGTCAGGACTTGAACCCAAGACCTTTGAACCTGGATGCAAGTGTCTGCCGCTACACAGTGGTGGCTTCCTGGAGAATTGTACTAGAAGATATTTATGGTAGTTAAGATAGCCACCTCGATGCTGACCACGTCATGGATTTGAGCTTTTTTGGTCAACAAAATACGACTAAGCACTTTGTCTGTGCACAGTTATTGTTTTTTCCCTTAAATTGTCTGTTGCTTTCTGAATGGTACAACATTATTGTTTTGTAAAAGTCAGCACAAAATGGTCTGCTGACAAATCACTTCTAGCTGACTCAGAATCTTGGTATGTTGGTTTATGAAACTGTGTGTACAATCCCGAGAGACGGATGCGCACAAAAAACGCACAAAAAAATAAAAAAGTGTCAATCACTGTCAGTCTTTCATATGAAAAAACATGTTTTAATGCCCATATCTGTTCTAGAATATGTTTAGGAAAATATGTAAAATCAGAAAAAAGAAATAATAATGAAACTAACCTGAGTCTAACTCGGTGGCAAAATTAAATGGTCAGTAAATCTAATACTAGTCTTTACATGTGAATAGGTAGGTAAGTTGTACCCCACCAGGACATCACACAAGAGATAATCACCCGGTGACACAAAGTGCCACCATGCAGATGAGGATCACCTGTGGAGAGGTCCTGGAATCCCTGTTCAGCCATTAGGCCATATTTAGGGCCTGGCTGTTTTTAGGGACCCTGGTAAAAGCCAGGGTGGGGCTTCAAAGTAACTAAAAATTGCATTCCACATGAGGTTGGCTGATTTTTTTTTTTTTTTTTTATCATGTGAATTTGATTAAATGTACTGTTATTTTCCCATTAACAAAAGATTTGTTGAAGCTACAATTTTTTTAACATGGAGAGAGAAAGAGAAGATATAGCAAGAGAGAAACAACTGTTATTGAAGAAGGCTTAGTTGTCCGTTATAGGTACAGTAAAATTGGCTGTCCTGGGAAAGTAAAGACAGCCGGCGTAATGCTGACCACATTACCCACAGAGTGCTGGTGGTCTGTAAAAATATGGGACGCTCTGCCCATATGCCCGATGGGCCGAAAGGCGTGAAAAGGGAACTTGACATTTTTTTACTTACCTGGCTTGCCAAGATAGTCACAAAGGTTCAATTGAAAGGTTGCCTCCCTTTTCTTCAGCTAAAATTAATGTGTCATTATGATTTACCTAGGCCACATTTATTCTACTCCTGCAACACAGCTAGTTGTCTTACTGTCATACTACTGTTCATTACCATGTACTATCTACTGTTGCAGATAATATTCTACTAGCTGCCTTGTTTTTTATATATTCTTTCAGATTTTTAGAAAACTTACCCACCATGCAACATTCCATCCTGTTCTTTATACAGAGTTTTTAAATACTGTTAAGCCAGATTTTTTTTTTTTTCAATGTTGGGCAGTACACTAACTAAGCTTTCCATATTTGATATGAATTTATAGTGTGATTTTCAGTCATATTTATATATTCTTGTGTGCTCTTGCTGTTGTTCAGAAATCTTACACGTACACATTTTCCATGTTTTTTTTTTTTTTTTTGAGTTATCTCTGGGATGGTTGATTTCTGACGACATAAAGTTAGTAAGGTTGAGAGTTTCTAAAGATATCTGGTAAGTTTTGTACTGACACTGGCATCACTGTGTTCTAGTTAACATTGTATCTGAGAAACTGTTGGGGCGTGAAAATACACGGATAGTAGCTTTCCATTAGGCAGGATGGGAGCAGCATACTGCAGAAGACTGCAAAATGATGATGATAAGTTAGTACTGCATATAGCTAGCACTGAAAATGATTGCTGCTGACAATATCAACAAATTGTATCTGTCCTTGATACATTTACTGTCCTTGATGCAGTTAACGAAAGGCAGATGTGTAACTGTTACACTGCTGTTTAGACATAATGGAAGCAGAGCTATAGGCCACTGATGGGTAGATAGAATTTCTGAGACCATAAATACCAGCATCTACATAGCACACACCAAGACTCTTACCAAGAGCCTGTTGAAAACCTGGGGCTGCTATCTGTTTGTGCCCGTAAATTCGTTTGTGCTGTATTTGCATTACCGTTTTCATTTATTTAATTTTTTTTAAACGTCAATTAAATTATTTGCTATATTCTTGGTGTGTTTGTGATAGTGTTGATGTGTGTCATGTGCTGATGAAATCTGTCTAGCTGTAACATTGACTTGTCGTTTGTGGTATGGTTAAGCAGATTGGTTCTTCTTTTTTATTTGGTTTGGTATCTTTTCATGAAAACCTGGTGCTGAAAGGCAGAACAGGGTCTAGAGAACAGATGAAAAATAACTCACAAATCTGTGGTTGGTGCAGCGGATAATA